GCCGCCGCCGCCGCCGCCGCCGCCGCCGCCGCCACCATGTTCCCCTACCCGGGTCAGCACAACCACGCGGCCGCTTTCTCGCTCGCTAGCCCCAGCCGCTACATGGCGCACCACCCGGTCATCGCCAATGGAGCATACAACAGCCTGCTCTCCAACTCCGCGGCGCCTCAAGGCTACCCGGCTGCCGGCTACCCTTACCCGCAGCAGTACGGCCACTCCTACCAGGGCTCGCCCTTCTATCAGTTCCCCTCTGCCCAGGCGGGCCTCGTCCCCGGCAAGGCGCAGGTCTACCTATGCAACAGGCCGCTCTGGCTGAAGTTCCACCGGCACCAGACCGAGATGATCATTACCAAGCAAGGCAGGTAAGCGGCGGCGGCGGCGGCGGCGGCGGCGGCGGCGGCGGCGGCGGCGGCGGCGGCGGCGGCGGCGGCGGCGGCGGCGGCGGCGGCGGCGGCGGCGGCGGCGGCGGCGGCGGCGGCGGCGGGCGAAGGATGCCCGCCAGGCGCAACGCCGCCGCGAAGAAAGCGGAGGAGGACAAGGGAGGCTGAGGGACCGGGAAAGGGCGAGCAGAAGCGCCCTCCGAGCCCAAGCCCAGGTGCCTGGCCGCGGGAAGAGCCAGATCTCCTGCCGAGACCCTCGGGCTCTGCTCAAAGTATTTTTCTTTTGTCGTTTTTTTTCTACCTTCTTGTCCTCCCTCCCATTGTACTATCATCATTATCAACGATTGTTGTTGTTATCATCATCATCATCATCATCATCATCATCATCATCATCATCATCATCATCATCATCATCATCCCTTCTCCTTCTCCTTTGGCTTTAGACACTCCTGTTCCTTTTTTTTCTTTTTCTTTTTCCTACTTCCCTTTTCCTTTCCTTTTCCCATTTCCTTTCATTTTGCTTCAGCTTTTTAAGACTAAAAACACCGGCGATCTTGTCTTTGGGATTGGAATAATCCGGTTCTTCGTTTATTTTTTTTATATATATATGTATGTATGTATGTGTATATGTGTATATGTATATATATACATACATACATACACACACACACACACATCTTTAGGCCTACAAGTTTTATCCCCATATATTTACGATGTTTTTCTTCCTCACTCTGACTTATGTAAGAGTCATAAACACGACGAAGAATGATTGCGATCGCAATTCCTCTTAGGAACAGGCGCCGGGGTCTTCGGCGCGTCTTGGGCCATTTCTGCCGCACTTTTTGGCGATCACGGCATCGCCTCGCTTCCTTTGCTGACCCCGAGAGATGGGGAAGTCCGCCACTTCGCGGCTGGTTTTTGCGCGTTGAAATTTGGCAGCCCGTCACCTGAAGGCTAAAGGCATTGAAATCGCTGGGACTTGCTTCCGGGCAAATTACAGTGGAAACCCGCGAGGATCTTTTGGGTTACAAGCCGATGTGCCAACCCGCCAATCCGGTTTCCTCGGAAATAACCCTCGATTTCAGCCGGATTCACTTGGACATAAGTAAGCGGAGGGCCGCTTTCTCCCCGGCTCGATCCGCTAGACGAAAAGGCGCGGAGCGAGATGCCTAAATCGGTGTACCCTTCGGGTACTTTCCTCTGCATCCTTAGCTCAAGAAAAGATTTTCGAAGATTTTAGGGGAAGAGCTGTGTATTTATAAAATTATGATCCCCCTCCTTTTCAATCCCCTCCCTTTTCCTCTCCCCCCCCCCCTTTCCCCGCCTTCTTTCTCAAAACAGGCGAATGTTCCCTTTCTTAAGTTTTAATATTTCGGGTCTGGATCCCACGGCTCACTACAATATTTTTGTGGACGTCATCCTGGCCGACCCAAACCACTGGCGGTTTCAAGGCGGCAAATGGGTGCCTTGCGGCAAAGCGGATACCAACGTTCAAGGCAAGTCCTTCCTCAGTTCACACGTCCTCTTATCCCTCCCGATAACAATGTACGCGGGCGCGCGCAAAGGCTTGCATCCGCGCTCGGCTCGCTTAGGTGAGAAGTCTTAATTAGTGGACTGTCTTGGGCCAGTAAGACTGCACAAAACTGAGGGGGAGGCTAAAACTGAAGGGCTTCCCCTCCCTTCCCCCATTCCTGTTTTCTTTCCTTCAATTTCCCGAGTTGAAGTACCTAAAAACATACCAGTAAATAAAACGAAAGAGCAATTTCGTCTTCTCAAAGCTGGGAGGTCTGGGGAATTGTAGAGAATCATCTCTGAAGGTGGAGGGGGGGGGGGGGGGGGAAGGAGAAGGGAAGATGCACTGTGTGAATGTTTTTCTTTCCAACATTGTTTGTTTGCTTGTTTGTTTGACAAACGCGGGGTTCTCGTCTTCAGGAAATCGTGTCTACATGCATCCCGACTCGCCCAACACAGGAGCCCATTGGATGCGGCAGGAAATCTCCTTCGGGAAACTGAAACTGACCAACAATAAAGGGGCGTCCAACAACAATGGGCAGGTCAGTAGGGGCTCGAGAGAGACGGCACTGGGCCCTGCAGGACCAAGCGACTGCGTGGGTACCGCATCCTCAGCTCCGTTTGTATCATTTGTGTCTGAGCCTGTTGTACAAATCCAGCCCCTGTTGTACAGGACATGGAAAAAAGAGGCTAATTCAGTAGTCAGGTTAAGCGAGGGAGATTCGTTTGCACCAGCGGGTGAACCGGAGACCGTCTTCTCGCTGGCGATTCCGGGCGAGGGCTTCGGAATCGAGGCGGTGGGCAGCTCGTACAGCGGCCACGGCCCCAGCGGCTTTTTTCAGACTTCGCTTCTCAATTC